CAACATCCTTCCCCCAAAGAACAGTCATTTTTTTTTAAAAAAAGAACAAATTAATTTTACCTGACATTGAAATAAATCAGCTCTCTTCTTCAACATTACTGACATTCACAGTGATGAGCTACAGCATCTTTGTAGAATTACTTCAGTCATTGTTGATGTAAAACCTGTCTGCATTACTATTGTTTTGGCACAATTTGAGTTGCAAGACACTATAAACAGGGGTCTTCAAACTTGGCCCTTTTATGACTTGTGGACTTCAACTCCCAGAATTCCTCAGCCAGCGTGCCTGGCTGAGAAATTCTGCCAGTTGAAGTCCACAAGTCATAAAAGGACCAGGTTTGAAGACTCTTGGTATAAATGAAAAGTTGGTATTCCTATATTCCTTGGAGGAAAATTTGACTCTGAGTGACATGAAGTCCACAAGTCATAAAAGGGCCAAGTTGGAAGACCCCTGCTATAAACTCTAGCACAGAAATGATAATTATGGAACACTGAAACCCCAAGCTGATTTCCACCTGGCTTAATCTTTGTGATGATCCAACAGGATGCTTGCTATCCATTTATGGCCTATCCAGGTGAGGCACGGCAGGAGAAAAATAATTTAGGAACCTCAGCTCAAGATTTGTTTGTTTCTTTCCATGCTATGTTCATAAAGTTACTTTTCTGGGTTCAGAATTTTACAGTGGTTAGTAACATTGACAATGAAATCTCTGAGCATTTCAACTACCTGGTAAATAAAGGATTTAAAAACCTTTCATCTTCAATAAATACTTTGAAAACGCATTCATCTGAACAATTTCATTTTGCAAACTGTCAAATTTTGACAATCGGGACACCTCTGGGATGTTATATTTTCAAAATGTAAGAGGTACTTCAATCTATGTTGGAATCACAAAATGATTTTTTTTTTCCTTTTAGTGTTCTGTGTATGAAATTCAGGGCAAAATAATCATATCTTTAATGGAAGGAATTTAGAATTGAGGAGAAAAGCTACAATTCCAGAGATGGTACTACATTTCAATCAATCAAAAATATGTTGATGCTGAAGACAATACTATTCTTTAATAAATACTAGCTTATTATAATGAATGAATTGAAATAGGAATTTGGTATTTTGGAGATGAGAAAGAGAATTATAGAATATTACATACTGGATTGTGTAATTAATATCTAAAATAATTCTATAGCTGTTATGGTCTGTGACATAATAACTGGGGATGCATAAAATCTAGCAGGAAAACAGAAAAGAAACTTACTTTAAAACTGTATTTTCACACCTTTAGCATCTATCATAGTAATATGATAATAATAATAATAAAGTTGGAAGGGATCTTGGAGATCATCGAGTCCAACCCCCTGCTCAGGCAGGAATCCTATACCATTTCAGACAAATGGCTGTCCAGTCTCTTCTTAAAAACTTCCAGTGTTGGAGCACCCACAACCTCTGGAGGCAGGTTGTTCCACTGGTTAATTGTTCTAACTGTCAGGAAGTTTCTCCTTAGTTCTAGGTTGCTTCTCTCCTTGATCTGTTTCCATCCGTTGCTTCTCATCCTGCCTTCAGGCGCCTTGGAGAATAGCTTGACTCCCTCTTCTTTGTGGCAGCCCCTGAGATAATGGAATACTGCTATCATGTCCCCCCTCGTCCTTCTCTTCGTTAAACTAGACATACCCAATTCCAGCAAACGTTCCTTATATGTTTTAGCCTCCAGTCCTCTAATCATCTTTGTTGCTCTTCTCTGTACTTTTTCTAGAGTCTCAGCATTTTTTTTACATCATGGTGACCAAAACTGGATGCAGTATTCCAAGTGTGGCCTTACCTAGGCATTGTAAAGTGGTATTAATACTTCACGTGATCTTGATTCTATCCCTCTGTTAATGCAGCCCAGCACTGTGTCTACTTTTTTGGCAGCTGCAGCACACTGCTGGCTCATATCTAAGTGATTGTCCTCAGGGTGGGAAGATTCAAATCCCCAGGCAACTAGGAAGTTCAATAGAAGGTTTGGAATCAGTCTTGACAGCCAGTATAACGAGCTAGTTAAGGAGTTGGGTTGGCATATTTCTTTTTCCCAGCTTTATTGTGAAGAAGATTAAGGGGGGGAGGGCATTCTGTGCTCTGCAAAACCTCAGGGGGAAAAATGCCTCTAAAGACCAATTCTTCTTTCTGGTCTTGAAGCCGTGCAAATTCTGTGCCAACATCCATTACCAACATTTGAACAGCTGGACTAATTACACATGAAGCTGTTGAATTTTTATCTTTTTTTTTCTTGATGTGGGATTGCAGCAATTCAACTCAGCATTGAAATAAATTGTTGGTGAAGAGAACCAATTTGTCCCTAGGAAGGAGAACAGTGTAATGGGAGGATCTCCACAGAACCTTTAGGAAGCGAACAAAAACGATATTTTTTTCAGGGGATGGTTCAGCCTAGGAATAGAATAGAAAAGAATAGAATAGAATAGAATAGAATAGAATAGGAAGAGACCATGGAGGTCTTCTAGTCCAGCCCCCTGCTCAAACAGGAGAACCTATTCCATCTCAGACAGGTGAATGTCTAGTCTCTTCTTAAAAAACTCCAATGATGGAATGCCCAAGATTTCTGGGGTAAGCTGTTCCACTGGTTCATTGTCCTCACTGTCAGGAAGTTTCTCCTTAATTCCAAATTGCTTCTCTCTTTGATCAGTTTCCAACCATTATTTCTCATCCTTCCCTCTGGTGCTTTGGTGAACAATCTGCCCCCCTTTGCCTTGTGGCAGCCCCTCAAATACTGGAATACTGCTATCATGTCACCCCTATTTCTTCTTTTCTTTAGACTAGCCAAACCAAGACCCCTAGCCATTCTTCGTATGTTTTAGTCTCCAGGCCTTTGATCATCTTAGTTGGTCTTCTCTGAAATTTTTCCAAACTCTCAACATCTTTTTTGTGATATGGTGACCAAAATTGGCTGTAGTATTCCAGGTGTGATCTCACTCGGGTTTTATAAAGCAGTTTAATACTTTGTGATTCTATGCAACGGAGGGAAACTAATCAAGGAGAGAAGCAACCTAGAACTAAGGAGAAACTTCCTGACAGTTAGAACAATTAATCAGTGGAACAAACTGCCTCCAGAAGCAGTGAATGTTCCAACCCTGGAAGTTTTTAAGAAGAGACTGGACAGCCATTCAGCTGAAATGGTGTAGGATTCCTGCCTGAGCAGGGGGTTGGACTCAATGACCTCCAAAGTCCCTTCCAACTCCTCCTCCTCCTCATTATTATTATTATTATTATTCCATTGTTTATACAACCCAGGTTGCTGCTGTACACTGCTGGCTCATAGTCAAGTGATCGTCCACTAGGACTCCAAGGTCCCTCTCACAGTTGCTGTTTTTCAGCCAGGTCTCACCCAATCTGTATTTGTACCTTTGGTTTTTCCTGCCTAGATGTAACACTTTGCTTTTCTCCACATTGAAACTCATTTTGTTGGATAAGGCCCATTGTTCAAGTTAGTCAAGATCTTTTTAGATCTTGAGTTTGTCTTCTGGGTCGTTGGCTACTCCTGTCAGTTTGGTGTCATCTGCAAATTTAATGAGTTCCCCTTCAACTCCCTCATCTAAGTCATTGATGAAGATATTGAAGAGTACTTTGCCCAAGACGGAACCTTGTGGTACCCCACTGCTTACTTCTCTTCATGTGGATGTAGTGCCATTGAGGATTAATATGGTGAGAGCAGAGAAAAATGGAAATAAAACCCAGACATGGACTGTCACAAAGGGATGGATCAAGATTGTTATTTTAGAGAAGAGCTTGAAGTTTCACTGCTTATCCCCCCCCCCCCGATTTTTATCCTTGAGGAAAGAAGAGTGAAGCCCTTTCTGCAGGATTTTGGCTTTAGATAAAGTTACCCATGGGGCTGTACTAACTGGAAAATAAACTGGAATTGAAAAGGAGAGTCTCACAGAGCTTGTGTGGCCAGCAGAGCTCCCAACCAACCAGTGATGGGCACCACAAGACCACTGAGGGTGCAAGGTAGAAGTGCTATAATCTTTTTAGATAGCTAGCCTTTAAAGCATTCAGTAGTCTTCCATTTAGTCAATATTTAGTAAAATGAAACAAAATCAGTGAGGTGTATTAATCGTCTGATTATGTGCCATCAAATCAGTGTCAGCTCTTAGAGACTACCTAGAAAGACCTTCTCCAGGACGACCTTATCACCAGTTTAGTGTTTAAGATTTTCTAATGGAGCATCCATTCCTACTATAATTGAGTCCATGCATCTTGCTGTTAGGTCATCTTCTTCTATTTCCTCTCACCATTCCCAGAATTATAGACTTTTCAAGGGAGTGGGTTTTCATATAATGTGTCCAAAGTATACATTTGTGCCTAGTCTTTTGTGCCTAGTCTTTTGAGAATTGTGGATTATTTTTTTTTTACCATGCATTTATTTTCTTGCCTGTCTATGGTATCCCCAGACATCTTCATTGACACTAAAGTTCAAAACCATCAATGATCGTGTTATCCTACTCCTTCAGAATCAACATTTGATTCCATGCAGCAGTGTGTCTCAATCTTAGTAACTTTTAAGATGTATGGACTTCAATTCTCAGAATGCCCCAGCTAGAGCATTCAGGAGTACACCAAAATGATGGGCGCCCAAAGATGAGCTGCAGAGGGAATAGCTGAGGTAACAGCAGAAATGGGGAAAAGATCAAACAGAGAAAGTGACATGGCAAGACAATGTATGGGCCAGACCCTCTCAGAGGGGGCATTCCAAAGAAGGTCATAGAGCAGTGGTTCTCAACCTTTTTAATGCTGCGACCCCCAACCAGTCGTAAGTCAAGGACTACTCAACCGGTCGTAAGTTGAGGACTACTCAACTGGTGCAGTACTGTTTGCAGAATGGGACTTTTGGCGGGCTCAGCAGGGCGGAGACAGCCTGGACAATTCCTATTGGCTTTTGAAAGCCAATAGAATTAGACAAGAGAGTCTATTCTATTGGCTTTCAAAAGCCAATAGAATAAAAGGGAGCAGCACAGCTAAGGAAAAGGGGGAAAAGATGACGGACTGCGTTGTTTGGCAACCCCCATGAAATGGTCATTCGACCCCAAATGGGGTCCCGAACCACAGGTTGAGAACCACTGTCATAGAGAATAAGAAGGCAATAGTAGAAAAGGACCAGGAGACAGTGGTGGTGATAGATGGAGCAGTGCCAAGTGACAGCAACATCAGAAAGGAGTTTGAGAAGCTGGAGAAGTAGCAGTGCCTGAAGCAAGAAGTGGAGGATGTGGAATGTAAAGGCCAAAGTGGTTCAATAGCACTCAGGGCCATGACTCCTGAGCAGTGAGAATGGCTGAAACAGATCCCAGGAACAATGCCAGAGCCCTCTGTCCCGAAGAATGCATGGCTAGGATACTAGGATAACTAGGATACTGTGCCAAACTCTTAAACTCCCAGATCTCTGGTAGAGAACCTGAGGTTGAGGAAGACACATACCATCCATAGTGCTTAGAAGTGATCCTTTCCAGTATCTGTTATTGCCTTCTACAAAATGTCAGACTCCCAACCAGACTTACGCTAACAAATACTGCGAATATAATACATGTGAGCAACTTTAAATTTTGAGCAACACTTTGCATGAATCAACCTGGCATATTATGATCGATGGTTAGTGCAACATATGTCAATATTTTTATGTCATATGCAAAATGGTGAAATGCCAAACACATCAGTGAGGGAAATCAATGCAAAAATACAGTTAAACTTTTAAATAATGTGCTGAAAGCTCCTCACTCGCAGATCCTTCATCACCTACCAGTGAAGTGACTTAGTGTAATACAAGGCTAAACACACAAATGTGAAATGTTAGTGCATTCATGGCATTAAAGTAGTGGGGAAAATAAGGGTCTGATCTCAGCAGCCTCCTCATCTAGGCAAGCTGTGCAATGAACAGAATAACAATTTCAGGGTCTTTCTCCTCCTCTAAATTCACTCATGATTTGAATAGGGTGTATCTTCTTCTTAGCTGAACCTCTTCTGACAGCTGCATAGATCTCCTCCGGCTTCTCTCTCTTAATCAAAGGTTTCTTTTCTGGAGCCTTCATCCGCCACATCACCACAGGATGTCGTGGGCCAGCAGAACTTTGAATTCGGATAATTTTTGTGGAGGCAATGTAGGACATTTTCACTGTCTGCACCACAGCATTCATCAGGTTTTTGGCAGCTTGAATCAACGAAGTCACACTGTCTAACTGTAAACAGAAACACGACTATTATAATCTCAGAAATAATGCCTGTTGTTTCCTTTTGTAGACTTGAATGCACAGAACTTAAATTTGATTGGGTCAAAAATAACACGCAATGCTGGATAACAGAGATGAATGGGGGGGGGAGGTCACTTTAATGAGGCCAGCTTAGAATTTCTGAAAGTTTTGCTAACAGGTCAGCCTAAATGCAATAGCATAAATAAGAGCTGCAAAAAACCAAATTTTTGTAACAAACATGACTTTTCTTATGCTTTTGTTTAGAAATAAAGTTTCCCATTTTGTAATCCCAGATCTTTGCAATTCCAAAAATCTGTAATTTTGGCCAGGCATAGTATTGTTCAGATAGCAGTCAGTCACCTACCTGAAGAAGACTGAAAACATGAAACGATTGGAGATAATAATTTGGATCCATCCTTCTTTATTTTATCTGAATGCCTGAGAAAATGTTTAAGTGTACTACTTTCAGTTTGTTCTGTGGGAAAAATGCAACTATCCAAAAGACATCGGGAATATTGATATCTATCAGTTCAATTCAGGGACTGGAAACAGTTCAGCTTCAAGATAGAGAACTTAGTAATCCAATGAATTATTACAGATAGTCCTTGACTCACAACCATTCATTTAGTGATTGTTCAAAGTTACAACAGCACTGAAAAAGCGACTTATGGCCACCTTTATCCCCACAGTCATGTGATCATGCCATTTTCCAGTATTTTGCTTAAAATACTCAAGGTCACATCCATTTCTTTTTTCATAAGGGTTTTGCTTATTAGTGTTGGGAAGATTCCCCTCTGATTGTTCAGTGTGAAACAGAATGCTTGAGTAGATGGGCTTTTGATCTGATCCACTAATTCTTCTCATGTACTTGTGCTTAATATTTTTTATTATATGCAAAAAGGGAGGGAATTCTGGAAGTGTTCTTACTATACAAGATATCAGTGTTGTATGATTTGTAACATAGACTGCATTTCATTTGAATTCATTTGTATCATATTTCATTTTGTGTATAGTCCTCTAGGTGAATGTTAAATTCTTCAGCATTGCTTTCCTTGTATTATGGATTCCATCTACAGCTTAAGCTTCCTGTGTTGTTATTTTACATTGGAAAATTGGAAAAAGGATAAATATACTGATATGCTTATCAGTGACTTGTATGAATAATTTTTGAGCTTCTAAGAGTCTCCATGCTCATATTTAATTACAGGGCTGACAATTTCAATTTAAAAATGCATTTCCACTTCAAATTCTTTTAAATTATGCCCTGTGCTTGGATTTATATTTTCCCAATCCTCACAGGTAAGCATGCACATATACACACATCAAAAATAAACTTGATTATTAGCTGACCATCTTCTGAAGTTTGATGGGGAAAAAGGGATACCATATGCAGCCCCTTGACGTACTTTTTTCCCCCAAAATCATTCAGTGTAGAATTAAGAATAAGAACACCTTATGCTGAATTGAAAATAGATTGTCAAGATCATTTTTTTTTTGTCCTGCTTGAAAGGTTCTGTGTGGCTGGTTCTTTCCTGCTATCTTATGATCCAGAGCAAAGTAAACAGGCCCAGGACTCATTGCAGGTGAGGCTGACTCCAAAGCAGCTAGAACAGATCCTCCCAAATATATTGTGGAGTCATAATATTATTATGGGGCTTTAGCCTCCAGATTTGAAAGAGGCCACATCTTCTTATAAATACTTATTTCAGCCCTACAAAAGCCATGCCAAGTCTTCCTGGTTAGGGCCTAGACCAGAGAGAACTATGGGAGGGCAGCAGCCAAACCACATCCCTCATAGATTTGGTTCTTGCCACAATACCATTTATTAATATAGGTAGTCTACGACAGAGGCCCCCAACCTTTTGGGCACCAGGGACCGGTTCTGTGGAGAAATATTTTTCCACGGACCAGAGGCGGCGTGGTTTTGTGTGCTGCCTGCATCCAGTGGATGGGGCTTCACTTGTTGCTGGTATGCCATGGCCCAGTGCTGGTCCAAGGATCGGGGGTTGGGGACCCCTGGTCTACAACTTAAAGCCAGTTGCTTAGCAATCATTCAGAGTTACAATGGGCCCTCTCAAAAGTACTTAAAACCTAGTTTCGAAGTTCTGAATACCAGCTCCTGCCCATGATCACATGGCTATATGTTGGGCGCTTGGCAACTGGCCCACATTTGCAACCATTTGCAGTGTCCATGGTCATATGATCATGATCACAGTAAAAAAACTGGAATTAAACCAGCATTTAGTTCCAATTTTTGACAAAAATGCCCTATATCAAATAATGTGTTCACTTTACATTTGCTTTGCAACCATCACATTTGCTTAATGGCTGCTGCAAGTTCATAAAATTGGGTCAGTCACTATATGGCCGTCATAACTTAACAACATAAAAGGCAGGCTACATTATGGCTATAAGTCAATGACTACCTGTAGTAAGGTAAATTTTCATGGCATTATTTTCACACTCTTATTATGAAAAAAGAAAGAGACATGCAAATCCCCCCAAATATTATTTTATATATTTTTGACCTTTTAAATAAGTCATTAAGTCTTGACTACATGAAATAATATTCATCAGTATTTCCACTGCGTTGCTGCAGTGCCGATTTACATAAGGAAATTATTATATATCTCTAGCTATCACTGTAAGTAAATCTTATATTTCTAGCACAGAATAGTCTCTTTATCTGTAAGCCCGCATGCCATAACGTAGCCGTATTTTTTTTAATCTCAAAGATATTCCAAAATTTCAGTATGTAATTTTATTACATTGGCAACCTTTAAATCACAACGATCTTTCTAATATCATTAAAACAATTTTGTGAAAGCAGTCCAGGATAGGATATTAATTTTAAAAACACTGTATTGCAGGGTAACTGTTCCCTCATCTATACAGGCGGTCCTTGTTTACTGAGACAACTTAGTCCCTCAATTCCAAAACTGTCTCAACTCAATGAGATTGGCAACTCAGTCCCTAAGTGAAGAGGTCATTAAGTGAAAACGCAATGGTGCTTGCAACCTTACTTCAGCTTTCCTTTGCTTTCTGACCAGCAGAGGTCATGAATGTGAGGGCTTGGTGGCAACATTCCTTTTTCATCACCATTGCAACTGTGAAAATAATTAAATAAGGAAGCTGCTAAATGAGTAGTGCAATGCACTTGCAATAGCCTGATGTTGGCAAGCAATCCCTTTTAAACATTCTGTGAGGAGTGTGACAGACAAGGATAGGAATATGATGTTGAAAACAAAATTGATCTTTAGGATCTTAGAAGAAACACACTGTATTTCTAAAACTTTTCCCATTTCTTCACAGCTTTAATATATAACCAAACCCTCACTCAGCTAATAGCATTCTTTCGCATCCATTTGCTCCATCACTGATAGCAATACCTCCTAGCCATACCTTGGGATGCTTCCCCCACCCCCCTTTGGTTCTAGTGGATGAAAGCCAAAGGACAAACCATCTTCTCACTATTTGCTGACACTAGAAACTCACATTCCAAAACCTTTAAATTCTGCTACAGTTATGAAGATCCGTCATTATTGAAAATACCTTTGTGCCATAATCATAGCCCAGGGGTCTTCAAACTTGGCCCTTTTATGACTTGTGCCTGGCTGAGGAATTCTGGGAGTTGAAGTCTACAAGTCATAAAAGGGCCAAGTTTGAAGAACCCTGTCATAGCCTATTATAAGTGGAGATGGAAGAGAGATGGGAATTATCCAGTCCCTTCTCCACCTTCCCAATTCCCCACTTCCAACACATATCTTTCTGATAAAAAAAAAACAAAAAACTTTTGTGACAGCTTCTGCTTTGTAACCTCCATCACTGCAAATCTACCAGGTTGCCATTTTGTTCCCTTTAATTACTTGTTATTGGCCTCTATTTATGACTTTTTAAATATTAGTTATTACATTTAGTACTAGTTGCAATATTCCCCTTTCATTTTTACTTTGAAGTATTTTATTTGGAATATGTTGTATCTCTTTTCATTAAAAATAAATGTGTAGCTTGGAAAACATTCATTATAATTCTAATATATTAAAGAACAAAAAGCAGTACAACAATGAAAAATCATAAAACCAACAATTTAAATATTAAAAAGACAGGAAGGCAACTAATAAAATCAGACAAAAGCTAATAAATATATTTTCAGTGTCTGGTAAAGATACTCCATTTTGTGTACAAGTTGAGCATCACTATCCACATTTACCACAGGTGGATAAATTTTGCTTAGAAATTTACGAGAAATGTATTGTGGCCTTTTCACTATTCTTCCCCTTAAAAAAATGCAAACAAAACTAAATAGTGTTTTGCCTGTTAGGCTTCCTATGGAAATTAGAATAGAATAGAATCATAGAACTGGAAGGGACCTTGGAGATATTCTAGTCCAACTCCCTGCCCATGGTAGAAAACCATTCCGGACAAATGTCCTGTCTATTCTTAAAAACCTTCAGCGATGGAGCATCCACAACTCCAGGAGGGAAACTGTTCCATTGGTTAATTATTCTCTCTATTGGGAAATTTCTCTTTAGTTCCAGGTTGGCTCTCTAACGAGCTTCCACTCTTTTCTTCTGTTTCTACCTTCAGGATTTTTGGAGGATCTGTGGCAGCCCCCCATGTACAGAAAAACAACTGTCATATAATACCTAATTCTTCTCTTTGTTAGGGTAGACATATGTGGTTCCCTTAATCATTCCTCACATGAGTTATCTTGCAAATATTAGTTGAGTTCTAGTTGTTCTGTAGCCCATCTCTTAATTCAGAGGTCCCCAACCTTTTGGGCACCAGGGACCGGTTCCATGGAGAGAGGTTTTTCCATGGACTGGAGAGTGTGTGGCTTTGTGTGCTGCCTGCATCCCACGGATGGGGCTTTGCTTGTTCGTGTGCAGCAGTTGCTGGCATGCCATGTCCCGGTACTGGTACTTCATCAAAAATAAAATTGCTGAAATACATATACATTCAATATCATTATAAGCTATTAAACCACA